TCCTAAATACCCCATAATCTAGGCGACATTCGGAAACAAATTCCTTCAAATGGAATTTTCACACGTGTCTTTAAGATTTTTTGGATGTTTTGAGTAAGGGCTTGAGTAAAGGTTTTAAAGGTTAAGTTTCAAGATTTTGAAGATTTAGATTTTAAGGGTTTGGATTTAAGTTTTGAGGGTTTTAGGATTTGGTTTTAAGGTATGAAAAGTTTAGGATTTTGATTTTAGAGTTTGAAGATTTTAGGGTTTTGATTTTAAAATTTGAGATTTGGGGTTTTGATTTAAGGGTTTGGATTTTAGGGGTTTGGATTTAAGAGTTTAAAGGTTTGGAATTTCGGATTTTAGAGGGCTTTGGATTTTAGGAGTTTCGAATTTTAGGGGTTTGGATTTAAGGGATTTTGGATTTTAGGGATTTCAAATTTTGAGATTTTGGATTTTAGGGAATTTCGAATTTTAAGAGTTTTAGAAACTTAGGATTTTGAAAATTAAGAATTAGCGTTTAAGGTTTCGTTTTTAAGAAAATACGAACATCTCTAAAAATTTTCAACTTCTAGGCGGATTTTAGAAGCAAGTTCGATTTTAATGATTTTTGAAAATTAATTAAAAATTTCTTATATTTCTTTTTATGAAAATTTATTAATAATAATTCTCCAACATGTAGACGGAATTATTTCTTTAGAAAAATATTTTTTTATTCCCTCCAACATCTAGGTAGAAAAAATAATAATAATAATAATTATTATTATTATTTAAGCATTTTTAATAGATATTTTAATTATTATCATACTTTGTTTTCATGTTATTATTAAAAAATCAATTAAAAAATTATTCTAACAAATTTAAGAATTTATCATGCATCAATATTAAAAAAATACTTAAAATAACAAAGATAATAATATATAAAGAAAATAAAAAATTAAAAACAAAATTTTTTACCTGAACCGGATCGGTCAATGTTGGTCTGGATCGATCTGACCGGTTTGGCGATTCAATCAACAGTTAGAGAGATCCAGCGGTTCAGACCGGTTCGATCGGTTCATTGATGGTTCATCTGGACCAGTTCGAGGCTGGTTGAAGTGGGTCGTGGGTTGGTTGAGCAAATCTCGGGTCGGATTCGAGTCTACGTGTGGATCTTCCTTGGTTAAAACGATGTCGTTTTGGGTTTTTCTCCTCTACGTAGAACCAAAAATTTTTTTTTTACTCCATTCTCACCTTTCAGCTAGAAAAAAAATTTCAAAGCTCTTGGGAAAGCTCCCAAGGCTCTGTCGGAGTCCAACGTCGGACCGTCGCTCCGGCCGCCACCTGAGTCACTACTGACGGTGGTTGTCGGTTGCTGAAAATCACAAAAAAATCTCAGAAATTCCTTTCAATGATCTCTTCTTAGATCTGGCCTTCTTTTCGCCTGAAACTGCCCCGATCAACGTAGATCGGGGCTTAAAATTTATGTCTTCTTTTTTTTGTTGTGAACAAAAACTGATATATCTTCCTTTATGCAGGTAGCTTGGCGCTGGGTTCCTCCCTACAGGGAGGACTGTGTTTGTCCTTTTTTTGGTTTGTTCTATTTTTTTGTATTTTGGCTTGGGTTTTTATTTGGTTTTTTTATGGGTAAAAAGTTTTGTGGGAGGCTTGGGTTTTTTTTAATGTGGGAGGCTAGGACTTTGAGTATTCAAAAGCTTGTTGAAATGAGGGCTGGGCAGTGATAAAGGGTCAGCTTTTCGTGTGTCTGAGAGAGAGTTTTTTAGGGGAAGAATCTATGAGGTTTTTTAAGGAGCTTCAAAGGGGAGCAGATGATGGTTGTAGGGGTGACTATAGGGAATGGCAAGAGGTGGGCTGTAAGGTGGTGAGTAGGTAGTGGAGGTGGGCTATAAGGTGGCTGGTCGGGGGCAGCAACAACGCCAGCCACCTTACTTTTCTGTTTTTTTTCCTATTTTCTTTTTTTTAATAATTATATTTTTTAAAATTATTATTATTATTATTATTATTATTATTAAAATAATAGACCCGGACAAAATCGATGTCTACAAATGTTTCATTGATTTAGCTTTAACTTATAATTTAAGATATTTTATTAAAAATAAAAGATAAATCAATTAAAAATTTAAAAGAAAATAAATATAATTAATGCATTAAATTATTTTAAATTTTTTATAAAATTAAATCAATCCATATCAATTTAAAGAGGAATAAATATGAATAAATATAATTAATACGAAACACATGATAATAAATAAAGGCCGTTCACATATCAAAGGCCGTTCACATATCAATATTATAAATTATTCATATCTATATTATTCATATGGTAGGTAGTTCAACGGAAAAGAAAAAGCATTTTTTTTCATCAATCAAAATTTAACTTTTAGTGAGAATAGTAGGAAAGTAAAATCTTTAATATATGAAATCGATATCAAATAATGTATCCTTTGAAAAAAAAAAAAATAAATTCAAGCAAAGTCTAAGATTATGTAGGCTCCAAAGCATCAAAAGAAGGCAGCAACCCTCTCCTTAAAAAAGAAAGGCCAAATCTTCTTTTCTTGGGTGAAGAAAATATTTGAGAGTTATGATAAAGTTCATGTGCGTGGACTTGTTATTTATTTGTTTATGTATCACTCTCAAACATGCCTTCCCAACTTCAAGATTTTGAGCTATTTCTCCAATGGTGGAATGACTAGAAAAGTGACATTTTCATTTGTTGGGATGATAAATTAATGGGAAATCGTTCATTACTACAACTTTTTTCTTGGTCTATGTTCATATATCATTTGTTGATGATTGACACCTGGCTATACTCGTTTTTAGCTACCTTAAAAAAAATTATCTTATCTCGGATTTAGGTCTCCTTAATCCAAGGACCCCAAGGTTATCGAATCTTATTGGTCCAACGATTCCCTTTCACATGGCCTCCAACCAATGGCAAATTGTGTTTAGTGACAGGCAGTCCCCAAATCATTATGATTATCTGTTATCTTGGAATGGCCTCCCTAAACCTCTGTTATAAACTTAAATAATCACAATTAAAGTATACTGAATTAATATATTTTAAAACGTGATAAGGTAACAATTAATCAAATTAAACCCATAAAACTATGGTGGTGTAAACAATGCTGTGATTTATTTATAAAGTATTGAATTTTTAATTTTAATATAAAACGGTATAATTGTTTTCCATTGGCTGAGATCATGCAAGCGTGCTGGACATCCCTCCCATTGGTGGATGATAATGCTTAGGCTTTCACATGTATGTCGGTACTAAACTTGTAGTTCCCAACAAAAATGTTGGAAAGGATATAACATATCATCTACGATGTATCTATTTTGTTAATTGCTAACTTTGTTTGGCATCGACAAACTCATTAGGCTTATTTTGGTTACAACTTACAAGAGGCAACTAAATCATATAATAGATTATCATATCTATTGAAAAGACAAACTTTCGACAAAGTCTTTGATAAAATAAAATAGAACAGTATTTAAATAAGAAAAGATTAAGCTGTGAGGTGATCTATAATATAGACTCCATTAATTTATTTTTTTTCTTTCTTTTTTTTTTTACAACAGATAATGCTTAATTATAAGCAAAGGCTAAGATTAATCACATTGCACACCAAAACATGAGCTTCAGGTAAAATGCATCCATATTTTGATATATAAGGTTTATTACATGTAAATTGCATTAAAAAAAATTTAAAAGAACATATTTCTTGTCATTTACAAATAATATTAATAATTCTTTTTTTGCTGTATATCTTTAACATTTTAAGATCATATATTTTTAGCATTTTTTTTTTTTTTTGCTAAGAATTGGATTCTAATTACTGAAACTAATAATTTAATCCTTTAAAAAGAAAGAAAATAAAAGAATTAAAAAATAACCTTCACTTTTCTTATGTGAAATTTATAAGCAACTTTAAAGCCTAATTTTAGTGGTGTCCTTTTATGCCAATGGAAAGAAAGAGAATTATTCTTAGACAAAGACAACTCCAAAACCCTACAAAAAAAAAAAAAAGTATGTGCAACTTTGTTCACTTAAAAATGGTGGGTGAAGTTTCAAATTTCTAATTAATGTCTTCTACATTTGGATTGGAGAAATTTGTTTCTCTATATTTTCCATATTTGGAAACTTAACTAGGAAACAATGAATCTCCTCTCCAACTCCAACGCTTTGTCTGACAAGTGGAATAATTCCAGACTTTTTATAGCTGTAATGTCTATAAATGGCAATTGCTAAGAAAAAACCTAACCACATGCTTTTATTTTACTCAGGTTTTTTCTTCCAAATGACCATTTTTTTTATAAAAAAAAAAATAGTTAATTTATCTTTTGAACTTTCTTACCTTTATACTTATCTAATTAAAAAAATATATATTATGTGTATAAATTCTTTCAAATCTACACAAATTGATCTAAAGGCCAAACAACTTTTGATTAAAAATTTTTAATAGCTTATACTTATGCTTGAAATTATTAAATGATTGTTAATTCCTTTTCTTTTGCTTTTGATCCTTTTACCTTGCAAAGATACCAAAAAAAAATTTTTCAAGAGATTTTGATTTTCTCTGTTTTATAAGAAAATAATATTCAATACAACTTTCACATATACGAAAAGATTTCCAAAAGGGAAAATATTAATTGGAATGTAAATTGCCTACATTGCATTAATTTTATCACAGTATATGGTTCATCAAAATTCAAGCATAGTTTCAACTTAGAGTAATAAATCATATGGGTAAGCTCAACCTGGGAAATACTAACATTATTTAAAAAAATTAAAAATGAGAGATTATTTACTCGTGTTCCACCTGTCAATAACTTATACGTGCGACGGCGCTAAAAAAATACTAAAAAAATAAAAGAGATTAAATTTATCTTTTAAATAATTTGCCCTAAATTATTGCAATGTACCAAAGTCCAAATAATTCATTGTTAGCAGTTTAGACCTCAAAATCCAACCCCTTTAATTTCTTCAAAATAAAGCTCTTGGTCACCACCTTAACTATTAGCTGATTATTTCCAAAAGCGGTCCATTGGCTTAACCATGTAGGCTTTCCTTCTATGATCTTCTGAATAATCAAGCTAAGAATCTTTGGTATTTATTCACTAATATTGCCTTTGACTCTCATTCTAGTTCATTTTTTCTGTGCACTGTAGAAACCCTAGAACAAGAAGAAGAAGACAAGGATGGGGAGAGGGAAGATTGTAATCCGAAGGATCGATAATTCTACAAGTAGGCAAGTGACCTTTTCAAAGAGAAGAAAGGGGTTGATTAAGAAGGCGAAAGAGCTTGCAATACTATGTGATGCAGAAGTTGGTCTTGTCATCTTCTCCAGCACTGGAAAACACTATGAATTTGCAAGCTCCAGGTTTGATATCATTTCATTATTGATTTTTTTCACATATAATTTCACATTCCAACCAAGTCATGAAAGAAACAAAAATCCAACCCTGAACCTTGACTTTCTACAGCAGAGATAAGAACCATTAAAACAAACCTTATCTTAGTTACTCATGTTACCATAGTGCTATGTGCTTCTTTTCTATTTTCTTTCTATAAAGCTACATAACAAATTAATCTTAGGGATATGCATCTTAATGTAGTAAATAATGAACACTATGATCACTCAAATAGATTCTAGTCAACCTGATATTATTCGAGCATGGCCACTGTCTTAGAACTCACTCCCTGGGGATGACCACCAAGGGATTGGGATTGAAAAGGTACAATATTTGCAAGCTCTACCTGTTATGGAAATGTAAAGGGGGGGGGGGGGGGGGGGGGGGGGGGGGGGCGCTTGATGTTTGAACCAAAATATATAGAGTGTTTTTTTCTTAATTAGCCATATCTATATAGTATATATAGTTAGTTAATTCAAGATTTGCAAAACATATCATGGTAGAGGGGAAAACATGGAGTAATTATTGTGTTTTCTACTACAAATATATATTATAGAAGGCATGGGAATTAATTTTGTTGAAGGGAAAAAATAATGTATATTTCAAAAACTTGATTTGCTAATCATGATTGACACATTGAGGAAGTTGATTAAGATGGATGATCAGTTGGTGAGATATGAAGAATAATGGAGCATCAGAAGAATGATTTTGATTAGGAGTACTTTCAGCAATAATGGAGACAAACAAAAGAGATAACCGCAAAGGGGCAGTAGTACTAAGTGCTTTTTTATGATCATCATCAAGAAAAAAAAATAGTAGGTGCTTTTCTATTAAGAATGCACTAGTAGGAGGGATTGGATTCAATTTTGTTGTGCTCCAAAGACGATATCGGAATGGCTGAAGGAGCATGATGAAAACTGAGTCACACAGAATAAAAGGAGAAAATGGAAATTAATTAAGAATATATATATATATATATGTATGTATGTAACCCCTAAATGAGTTAGAAGAAGATGAATTAGATACAATTAATACTTTGGATTCATGGTTGGACTGAAAGGGTATATGACTCTCAAGTTTTGTATTAATCCTTAATTTTTCTTGCATTCTTCCATCCTTCTGATAGGCAAAACAAACTAATGCATCTTCAACTACAACTAGATGAAGATGTAATTAAATATTTAACAATAAAGCATTCATCTATCTTTATCCAATTGGGTATTTCTTTCTTCTTTTCTTTCTTTTCAATTTTTTTCCTTTAACAGGAGGAAGCAATTTAGCTAGCTTTAAGATATAGTGACATATACTTGCTCAAACCAGGTCTATGTCGTTTTTTTTTTTTTTTTTTTATCTTTTGAATTATGAGGAGTTTGAACTCAAAACTAGGGAAGGCAATCCAACTTGTACTCAGTTAGTTTCGATCCGACTTGATTTTTTAGGATCGATTTTTTTTTTAATTGGATTTCAAGTTAGGTCAAGTCGAGGTGGGATTATAGGCAAATTCTCTTCAACTCGATCTGATATATATATATAATTATTTTTTAATTATTTATTTAATTTAATATTTATATATTTTATATTTATTTAATTTTATATTTATATTAAAAATAATCTTTTATATTTTAAAAATAATATTTTACTAATTTAAGGTCGAGTTAGATCGGATATGATTTTATATAATATCGAATCGAATCAGATTCAGATATTAAAAAAGTAAAAAAATCATCAAATCAAGTTGAACAAAAATCTATCTCGACTCAACCTGTTATCATCCATACTCAAAACCTTTTAGTTTTGGAGCCAATTTAATTACCATTGAGCTAGAGCTCATTGGTGTTCAAGTGTATGTTATATGTAATACATAGTTGTTTTAGACCACATTTTCAGCTCCTTTTTTCTCTTTCAAAAGAAATTCCCACTCTCCAGTTCTTTTTCCTGGGCTTTGCTGCTGCTGATTCTTATATCTCAACTTGTTAACACTGTCAACTTTTGAGTAATATATATCTATGCTTTTTCTTATGCGAAATGATCATAGTAAAATTCTTTCCATCATGATTTTATTGCTAAAAAGATGCCATATCCATGATTCTTTATGTTGTTGGTTTGATATTGGTAAATCAATTCCCATTGCATGTTGGCATTGAAGTCAACATTATACGGCTAGATTTAGCTGAAATTTCTTGCTGTATATATGCCTCTATGCCTTTCACCATAATATATATTACCAATGTATGATGATACGCATATGACCCCCCACACAAGCACTCACCCTGTTTTACTTATAGAAAACAAAAAATTAAATGTTGATAATATTCTTTAGAGCTTTTTCTTCTCGAGCTAATGTTTGTTGAACAAAATTGCGTCTCAGCCAAAGATTTTGGAATTGGCAATTTCGGTTCGTTGGATAATACTTTTGCCTATTAAAAACAATTGTAGCCAACTTCCACAACTTTTGATCAAATACCCAATAATAGGTTACTGCTAGTTCGAATTCAACTTTCTAGGATTAGTGTGTACCCTATCCTACTCCCCATTTAATATTCACAACGAGTATCATATCCATCCATTAGCAAGGTTGAATGCTCCCACGAGAGAAAGAACATCATAAAAAAAATTCAACTTATATCATTCCACGTTATATATATATATATATATATATATATATATATATATTTATAAAGTAATGATGTGTTTCACTTGAAGCATCTCTTAATGTTGTTTTTTATACCATGAGAACCATATTAAGCAATATATTAGGTATCAACCATTCATGTAGATGACCTCAAACCATCTCAAAAGGGAAAGTTCATATTGAAAAAAGTATTGAAAAGAATCAAGCATTTGATTCAAGTTGAAATTTTTTTTTATAGCCACCAAGCACATAAAACATCCTTTATCTTTCTCAAGTTTTTATTTTTTTTATTTTTTCGATATCTACTATCATGGAATTACATGCATGTATGACACTAGAAAGCCTAAGATTTTATACGCAACAACATGTATGTTATTCTTGAATCCAAGTCTTGAAGTAGGTTTTAGAATTTCCATATTAATTTTTATATATGGTTTAAATGAAATGAAGCTATTAATTTGTGCCAACATATGCATGTGTTTGTGTTGTAATTCTCATTTGCATCCAAATTTAATTTGCTTTTTCGTTAGCTCTTTGTTTATACTTCAAATTTTTTCAAAAGTAGAAGACAAATAGCAAAAAGTGAAAATTTATATAGAAAAGACATCATTGAAGTTTCAAATTCAAACCTAAAATGAAAGATGGAAGAAATAATTCAAGTTGAAAGAAAATGAAAATTTTGTACATAATTAATGAAGATGAGGAGTTATATTTATAATGCAAACTAAAATTCTTTAGCAAGATATGGAGGCTTTCACGGTTACTGAAAAAAATAATGATTTATGTAATTATTTTGTAAAAAAATTTCATCTCATAAATTTATATTCAAATCTCAATATCTGTAATTTCTTCTTTTATTTTAAATTATGATTTTTTTTTATAAATTAAATTTAAATTTCAATACTTATAATTTTTTTTTATTTTAAGTTACGATTTTTTTTATAAAAATATTTTTAAAAAAAGAATTTAAAAACTTTAAAAGAAATCTATATCTCGTGTTAAAGAATTCTATCTTTAACTGTGATCTCTTTTCAGTTTTCACCTTTAATATCACTCCAACGCTTACCAAATCCCTTTCACTTTCCCATTCTTTTCCTAAAACCCTGACTTAAAGATGCTAAAGAAAAATCTGACAACCAGAGTCTGATGATTACTATTACTGAAGGGTAATTAATATGTAAAATGTCACTTACAATTTATATATATTCTGTAAGTATGGTATTTAAATAAATAAATTTTTTATTATAATATTTTAACTTTTATTTCATCAAACATTTTGGTACTTGACACTGTTATTGTTACATAAATGATTTAAAATGACATGAATATCTAATAAACTCATGTTATGTGTCACAAATGTCCAGTAATCACCATATCATCTATTATCACATCATCAAAATTTTTATATTTTCTCTTTTCCTAATTCCTTTCCTTTCTCTTTTTTTTTTTTTTTTAATTTTGAATTAAAATATATTTTCAAAAATTTTTGAAATTTTTATTTAAATGCCAACGTGAAAAATAAATGATTTGGTGATAAATGAACATTTATATTATGTGTTATAATTTTATTAGATATTAATGTTACCTAAGCAAGTTGACAGCAATATTAAACTGAAATACTAAAATACTTGATGAAATGAAAATTTAAGTATTAAAGTGAGAAATTTTTTTTTTTTTTAGTATCAAACTGATAAAAAAATATATAATACAAAGATCATTTTGTATTTAACGTTAAAAAAATCAAGTGGATAATATTTTTTTCATCTTGGAAATTGGCTATTTCATTTTGTTTTGTGCATTTATTTTTATTTCGTATTGCCACCATGATTTATCCTTTTCTAAAGCACTTGAAGCTGTAGTTTTTTTTTTCCTTCAAAATGAAACTGTTAGTTTTTTTTTTTTTTTTTGGAAAGAAATTTGATATATCTTTAATGATCGAGTACAATTTACTGTCAAAAATGTCATTTTAATATGGAAAATTTTAATTTAGTAAAAATTAAAATTCTTAAAAGCACATGTTACTAAAGTTATAAGTTGTTACTTACTAGAATATAGATAAAAAGTAATTAGGGAAATATACCAACCGATAATGTGATTTCATTGATACTGTATAACATTTATACAAACTGCATCAAATATAAATAAAAAAAATTAATTAGGGAAATATACATACCAATTGAAATACCATAACCTAATGGACAGAATGCAATGAAAGAAAATGTTTAGACGATGCCATGCACCTTTTCTACAATGATGCCATCATTTAGATATTTCCTGTTTTCTTTTCTTTTTTGTGCATTACATCATTTAGATATTTCATACTACCATTATTTAGATGAAGCAGATGCAAGTATGAACCCCTGATTATTTTGTATACTTCTACCAGCATGAAATCAGTTATTGAACGATATAGCAGCATGAAAGAGGAACACCAGCAGTTGTTGAATCCAACATCAGAAGTCAAGGTAAAGTTCTCCACCACTTTTACTATATTTATAAGAATTACCTTGCTACAACTTTTTTTTTTTTTTTTGCATACATGCTACGGAGGGAAAAAATATAAAAAAGAGAGAGAGAGAAAGAATGATTAATTTGCTATCCCATTGTTTTAAGTGTTACTGTAATCATAAGATGAAACAAAAGGAACACCTAACTACCTAAATTTATGGGAAAGTATGTCTGAAAGATTTTATTTGCCATAAATAACAACTGTTCATATGTATTCCCTGCCTGCATTCCTGTGATGGCTACTGCATTCTACTATCTCGTTGTGCATGCAGAATATGTATAACAGGATCGATATGCTCGAAATGAAAATTCTGAAAGAACATATATGTTATACATTTAATCTTGTTTAACATGCAGTCTAACCTTAACAATAGCAAATACTGCGGCAACTGAAAGAATCCAAGGTTTAAAAGTCTTCTTTTGTATTTAAACATACATCTTTCAAATGGTAAAGTATTGAACGGCTGGTCTAATTGTAAATAAAATATGATTTCCTTGGTCCTGCAAAACACTACAAAAGCCAGTCAATGAGGGCAGTGCAATGAGATCAACAATCCATCTCTAAGGCAATCTTTAAGGCAGAGAACGAGGAGTTTTGCTTTATAAGTAAACACTTTAAGGAAAAGGACCCTTTAGAAAGTGCAGGTACACTACAAATTGTTGAAATGAGATCCAAGAATGTCAACATGAAAAATCACAGCAACCATAGGCTATAGTATCAAAAATACCCAACAGAATGCAAACCACAACAGTTCATTAGCAGTCTCTTTGACAAATATGGTTTGAATAACAAAGAGCAACAATCAATTCTTACCAGACTAACATAAACCTCTAATGGTGGCAACAATGTAACTTATTCAGGTATGTACCAATAGATTTCATATGTTTTAGTTGTCTGATCTCATTGCGAATATATAAATGAAATCAAATCACATTAAGTGCACTACTAAAGTAAATGAACAGAATGCCAAGAACATCTAAAGCAACACAGCATAGAAATGAGTTTTTATGCATCTGTATGCTAGAGTTCACATCTGGAACTTTATCAAAATTACCAAAAGAAGAAAGATTTCTTTTCCTAACTGATAAGGCCATACTCAATTTATCAGAAAAAAGTAGCAGATTATGAAAAACCTTTAATCCTTTCATTATATACTGTCTATTAACTTATTAAGCTATGTCAAATTAGATTCTACAATGATGAAACCTCTTTAAAAGCTAAGGAAACTGTTTTATTACTGTCGTATCTACATTTTCACATTATGTTATTAAAATGTACTTTGCTTACTTTCATGTGAGAATTAGAAAATAGATTTCTTATGCTCTAAATAAACTAACATTTGCTGTTTTACTTGACAGTTTTGGCAAAGAGAGGCTGCAATCTTGAGACAACAACTACATAATTTGCAGGAAAACCATCGGTACATCCTTCTCTTTGAGCTTAAAATTCCATACTATTTCTTATGAAAATTGTTTATTATCCTGAAACAAAATTCTAAAATAAAAAATTAGCCGCAAAATTCCGCTCTGTTATCTTTTAAAATGCCATGAAAGATAATTTTAGTTGTTCAGATATAAGACATAGAAAATTAGTATTGCAAATACTAGAAAACACCAATTAAACATTCAAGATATGATGAAGAAAACAAGCAAGAACACCATACCTACGGGAAAAAAAAGAAACAATACATCCATCCATCCATATATAGGATGTGAAACCATATATGAATGACCTGGTGATTGACCAACACCTATAATCTTATAAATCAGGAAACTCATGGGTGAACACCTTTCTGGTTTGAGTGTTAAAGACCTGCAGAATCTAGAGAATCAACTGGAGATGAGTATGAGGGGTGTTCGCATGAAAAAGGTCAGAAATCTCCGGTATTTATGCAATTTTTATACATAATTTCATGGCAGTCAATTTGAAGCAAATGCATGAACATTGATGCGCTTAATTTTTAACTTTTGCAGGAACAGTTATTAACTGATGAAATACAAGAATTAAGCCGCAGGGTCTTTCAAAAATAACACTAGCAGTGTTTTGTTTACATTGTTGTTCTATAAACAATCACTTCAATTGTTATACTTACACTGTGCTTGCACTTTTTTCAGGGGAACCTCATTCACCAGGAGAATGTGGAACTGTACAAGAAGGTAAATCTGATCCAAAAAGAAAACATGGAATTGTACAAGAAGGTATTCCATTTTATTGATGGATACAAACTTCAGAAAAAGACAAGAAAATTAGTTAAAAGAATGACATCTTCTAAAACTCCATAATATGAAATTAGCAACTCCACTGAGCTAATCGATTATGCCTCATGTCTCAGGTTTATGGAACAAGGGATGTAAATACATCAGGTGGAAACGCCTTGAATTCATATGGTTTTGACTCTGGAGAGGGTTCAGATGTCCCTTTTCATCTTCGACTAAGCCAACCTGAGGCACAAACTTGTAACCCACCAAATAGAGATAAGGATTAAAGGTAAAAATGGTTTCTATATTGAATAGATATCTTTACATATCACTATTAATCCAAGCATATTCCATGAAACTGCAGAAGCACAAGAAAGAACGTAAGAATGCAGTGAGGATTCAGACACGTTACTTCATCCTCAGCAAACCCCAAGTCTATAAGAAAATTATTCTTGGAGAGATGATCTACATGAAGGACGATCGGTACAATGAGTAATCTGGCATTGTTTGTGGCAGTACAATAAATTCACTATAAGTTATCAGAGAACCAGGAATCCATGCAAGTGCAAAGCAAAATATAAAATAAAATACTGTTTACATAAAAGTATCTCCTTCATCAAAAAGATTTTAACCATTGTCAGTGAGATTCAGGTCTTCTTATGTATATTTTGTTCATTCAATTTACCAAATCGAAATGATTAACAAGTACTAGAGAGATTAAATAACATGCAAGGTCCTTGCCTTGAGATGTTTCTACAAACTGGAATGAAAACTTATTTTGGGAGAGATTGGGGATTGATAAAAAAATATATAATAACAGGTTAACTCTAGACCAAATAGAGAAGAGAAGGGAAGTTATTGCTTCATGTCTTCCATCTCTAGCATGATAGTTCTGACTGGTATTTTTATTTCAATATCTGCCTGGTCCTGCAAGGCAAAGACTTGGCTTCATCTTTCAGAAAAGTAGGTATCAAAGAAAGAGGCTCAAACTGTTAAAATCTTAAACTTTTTCTTCCTTGAACTTTGTATCACAACATCAGTTTAATCATAAATTGGCAGGCTCTTCCTTACAGGCAAAGCTTTATGTTGTCCTTATAAAGCTTTGTTTTAGAAACAAATCACTTCTCACTCTTGCAACCTCCAAATGTAGCTCTGTATAACAGAATTAGAGAACCATCAAAACTAGTACTGTCTTATCTTCTGCATCACTGGTTGTACCTATCTTCTAGAAATTGCAAAACGTTGAAATGCAATGCTATCATTTAAGATAGATGACATAAAAGTTCTGAATATGGACCAACAAGCCACCAGCATCAAATTTCTAAATTGCAGGGAGTCCATATATGCAACTTTTGCAGTACTAAGATTTTAAGGAATTTCAATTTTACTAATTATAAGATAAACCTTCATATATGATACTGCTGCACCCAAGAGGATATATAAAATGAACCATTGGCTACATCAATCTAGGCGTCACTAGGAAATAGATAAGGATGGCGGCATCAGCATGGAACCATACTCAAAATCAGAATATTATTTGAAATGATAACAAACACTAGACTAAAACTACTCCATTTGTTGAAAAGGTTAACTAGTCTGCTAAACAGTTGAAATAGAAGTTTTTATTGGACCTGACAATTCATATACCTGATTTGTGTCCGTTTCGTGTCAAACACATGTAAAACATAAAAATATGGTGTTTAAATTCATATTCACAAGTCAATCAAGAAACACATTTTTTTAATTTTTTTTCAAACTCATATATAGCTTTTACCAAAATGTTAAACCATATGGCCTTCATACATATAATTTTGTGTTGTGTCTGAAATTCGCTGGTCTAGTTTTTAAATTACAATTAAGCAACCATTTTCCAAATTAGCTCAGACATGAAACGGCATAAAGTGCGATATTGTAAATCATGAACTAAAGTATTTGGCCCTGCATACTAAACACAACGGTTGAAAATTGATAAAACAAGCAGCTATGTCTCATCTTCTATATTTTGTAGTAGTAATTAAATCTTATCCAACAAGTAATCAATCCAAGGATTCAAGATATGAAATCCCAAATAATGGGGTGAACTGAAAAAAAAAAAAAAAGAAACCCTTATAATCTTTACAATCTTCTCCATTGAAGTTTTAACACAAAAGGGAATTCTTTAAATTTCTCTCCAACCCAAACGATAGTAACATAATTGAATATGTAAAAAAATGGCAAATTTGCTTAAAAAAGAGCAAGGGTTTTTAATTTTACAGAGGAAAAATCATGAGATTTGGAAACGAAAGAAAACTGAAAGAAAGGATTGGATTCTTACCGGGAGAGAAGCTGAATGGGAAAACATCTATCTGAGAAGAGTGGATTTTAAAAGAAAGCAAAGAGCGAGGAGCTCAAAATATCCGGGCTTTGCAGATTTAAATAATGGAGGGAATGTGGTCCCTTTATATTTAGGCTCCACGTCATTCCCTACTACTATGAGACGGAATTCAAACCCAAAATTTATTATTTTAAAATCAATATTCTCTAGGCCCAAAAAAACCCAAATATGCTTGTAAAAAATTAATTAAAATAGCTTTTTAAAAAAAAGTTTATATCATTTGTAATATTCATCACTTCCAAAAAATTTCATAAAAAAAAAAAAGAAGTAAGAATATGTACTTTTTATGAGAATTTATTCAGTGAAATTTTTAAATTTATGATTTACAAAACTTATCAAATTTCATATAAATTTGATAATTTATATATTTATATTTATTTATTTTATATCGAATAACATGTATAAAATATAAAAATTATTATATTATAATTCATATGAATACATCAACTAAAAATCACAATATTTTATATTTATCACATTCATATATATTTTTTAAAATTTTAAATTATATTTTTTTAATAATTTTTGTTCTTATCATCCTGATGCATCTAAAATTATCGATCTACTTTCACGTCTAAACCAAGGCCTGCCAACTTGGACAGCTCCTACCCCACAATTTGCCTTCAATTATTCTGCGACCAATATTGACAGGTGGAGCTGCTTTCGAAAAAGCCTAAAAATTTAGCACTTTTATAACTCTGATCAGTGTTAAATATATATATATATATATATATATATATATATATATTACTCTGATCAATGCCAAGATATGGTAACGAGTATTCACCATCCATTTCAAGAAATTCAGTTTCAGAAAAGAAAAAATCAACAAAAGAAAAAGAACAAACTTTCATTTCCTTCGGCGTTGCCGTCTTGGGTGTATTAGCTTGTAAAAAAAACTAAAGTTTTATATGCAACTCTGAGTCTTTGATGGCATTTGAAGCTACATTTTCTGCAATGTAAGCAGTTATCAATCACAGTTAATTAGTCTTGTCATGGAGCTAAAAGGCTGTTTTCCAGATCAAAATTAAATTAGTTATAGATTTTAATCATTGGTGAAAGCCTGAAAGCATTCCCTTGCAAAGAATCTACCTTCGAAGGCTCTTGTCACAATTTTATTAATCAGAATAGAAGAGCAAGAAGAGCCTTGCTCCTGTTGGCTTTCAGTCAGTCCTGGAGGCTGGAACCTGAAAAATGCACCACTCCAATGGCCCTGGCAGATTCAATATGCCATCATCCGAAGTGTAGATCCATTATTTCTAATCATTAGAGTTAACATTTCATTTCCAGAGAAAAAAGAAGAAATAAAGAAACAGAACTGTAATCCAGCAGAAATGTGATTCTTGGAAACTTAATCAACAGATCTTAATAGATATAGTTACAACAAAGATGATCTGAACTTACAGGAAAACAAAAAAAAAAAAAAAAGCATATATGCTACTCATCTAACATCCTTAAACATTCGCCGGCAATGGCCAGATTCTTCATGATGACAACCCTCATCAAAATTCAGAGAATAGCTAACAGCATCATAGTGAAAAGACAATGGCTTCGATCCATATATGCTGTTCTTCCCCTCCCTTACCAACCTCCACAGCAGATTTCTCCATCTCCTCCTCCTCCTGTCACTGCTGCTGCAATAATGAATGCGTGAATACTCCATTTCTTCATGCACAGGGAAGCATGATCGGGACATCATATAACACCCGGAAAAATAAGAGGATCGCCGGCGGCTGAGATCTCTCTCCATTTGAGACATTAGTTTCCTCTTCTTCACCTTTTTAGCTAGACTTGATTTAGGTTTGAATTTGATGATATCAAGTTTCTCATGTGTTTCCTCAACAATCATAAGAGTGAGAAGAGGATGTTGCGTCTTTTATAAGCATCAAGAATGCAAGATTTATCCTTTTTTTTTTGCAGTAATTCAGTGGGCCATTAATGTGTATTATTGGATTAGAAAAAAGAGCAAGACGGTAATCACATGATCCCTAACAAATAAGTTTGTAATAATCAGTACTATTTTTTTTCAATGATTTCTGATGGGTTCACAAGCCAATAAGGTTCCCTGTTAACCCATCATTCCCAAACTGATCTGATGTGATAAAAATGAGCTTTGAATTCTTACAGGGTCTAAACAAAATCTGATAATGTAAAGAAATGTTTATTTGAACTTAAATATAAAAGGAAGGCCAAGTTGTTCTAATTGCTCTGATGATTTTGATCCAACAATTGGAAGGAAATTACAAAAATTAAAGTTATTAACATAAAAAACAACAGACAACAATGTTAACATTGTGTTGTTTTCGTGAACTTAAAGGATTAATATAATTATTTGTACAATCATCTTTAAAAGGTGACATCCAATAAATTTAAAGTTCAAATCTCAACATCCACAAAATCTTATTTGTTCAAAAAACAATTGTAAGGTTACAGAAGAAATGATAAAATTCTCTTGCATTCTTTCACTTTCCATGTTAAAACTTGAATTTTGCAAATATTATCATTCTTAAAGAATATTTATTAAATTCCTAGTAAAATATATGGCAATGGCATCCTTGAAATAGAGAGATAAACATATTTTATACTTTATTACCTTAACATGTAAATGCCGAAACACATACTCAATGAAATCCAAAGGCAAACAAAACAGTCAAAGTAAAGAGTAAGAAATTCTGCAAGAACATGAAATTTTTGGTTGCCATTTTGTCTTGACAATTCTTGTTTTCCCTTAAAACAATTTAAATATTTTAGCCAGGGTGAAATAACCTGATACTTTGTTGGTGTATGTTCAACATGTAATTAATATTATTTTGGTTTGGTGAATTGCTCAAAAAGTTGCCAAGCTAATTTGGAAAAGGCATATATGAAAAACTGTATTGAATTACAATTAACATGTCACTTTGTTAGTTGAGAAGCATTGGTCACCAAGCTGCTTCAAAACTTTTATTTTATAAAGAAAGTCACAGGAATGAATTGTATGCGCTAAGATTTAAATTTCAAATTTGTTGGAAGTTATCTCTTAAGAATGGCTATATAGATAAATTGAACTATAAATTTAAGGTGGGTTCTACTTCGAAAACTTTATGTTAGGCAAAAAGCTCCAATCCGATCAGTCAACGGAAGTAAAATTAAACAATTAATCAATTAGTCATACAAAAAATAATAATTTAATATGATTCGACTCAATCGACTTACGTCCACTGATAAGAAAAAAGATTCACTAGTTGTATAAAATTACAAACATTTATCAAATCATATCAACCACTCAACAA